GGTTGATGTGCCATTAGTTATGTCTTGCCTTTACTGAAAGGAGGGGAGGCAACTATTTTAAATAACTATAGGCCAATCTTTAAATTGTCAGTTCTGGCGAAGGTGCTCGAACGCCTAGTGAGTGAACAAGTAAACAAGTTTTTATGTAAAAATAATATCCTGTCTAAACATCAGTCAGGCTTCAGAAAGCAACATAGCACCATCACTGCCACAATGAAAGTGGTGAATGACATTACGAGTATTTTAGATAATAAGCAGAGTTGTGCAGCTCTATTTATTGACCTTTCCAAAGCGTTTGATACCGTCGATCATCGCATCTTAAAGCAGAGGCTACTCAGTATTGGCTTATCCAGCCATGCAGTGGGGTGGTTTGTGAACTTCCTCTCTGAAAGGTCCCAATGTGTTCACTTTGATGGGCTGTCTTCTGAGTGGTTAAACATTGCTAATGGTGATCCTCAAGGTTCTGTTTTAGGTCCACTTTTATTCTCCATATATATCAACAGCTTAGGTGAAAATGTGAATGAAACTACTTTACATTTTTATGCGGACGATACCGTGATGTACTGTGCAGGTCCCTCCATTAAGGAGGCTGGTGTTAAATTACAGGCTGTTTTTAACATTATTCAGACTCAGCTCGCTGAGCTTAAGCTTCTTTTAAATGTTGATAAAAACCAAGCTAATGCTATTTTCAAAAGCTAAAAAGACACCAGAGCCTGTTTTAGATATTGTTACTATGCAAGGAAGTATTAGAAGTGGTTACCTGTTATAAATACCTAGGTATATAGCTTGATGATTGTCTTTTAAACTTCAGGTCATTAATCTGCTTAAAAAGCTGAGGGTTAGACTAGGTTTCTTTTTTAGAAACAAGTCCTGTTTCTCACTTGAGGCCAGGAAAAGGCTAGTCACTGTGACCTTTTTACCTGTGTTGGACTATGGTGATTAGTTGTATATGAATGCACCTACCCATTGCCTGAACAAGTTAGATGCCGCCTATCACAGCGCACTGCGATTTGACACAAATTGTAAAGCACTTACTCATCACTGTACCCTGTATGCCAAGGCAGGTTTGCCATCACTTACTGTAAAGAGGCTTCAGTCATTGGTACACGTTTATTTATAAAGCTTTGTTGGGTAAACTCCCGTATTATATCTGCTCTCTGATAACACAGAGAGTTGCAAGCAGCTATTGTCTGAGATCGCATGATGTACTATTGTTAGATGTGCCAAGAGCAAGGACTGTCTTAGGTAAGACAGCTTTTATGTGCGCAGCTCCACTTGCTTGGAACAATCTTCAGCTCAAGGGACCAATCTGATTAAATAAAGGTTTGAAATGAAATGAAAGATTAACAACCTCTGAAATGTCCTAAACGACCAATCAGATTTGAGTATTCAATGAAATCATGTAACAAATAGTTTGAACGCATGATTATAACTGTATAATGGTTTAATTATCATCAAGATGACAAGCGACAAAAAGTCAAAAGGTCAAAGCCTTCCGAATCTGAGAAGACTCCAGCACAGAGTTTTTAACACAAGCTAGAATTTCCCAGCAACATGCATCAAACATGGCTCCTCTGAGGTGTATAATCTCTCTGGTGTGTGTGAAGGCTGTGCAATAAATGTTGTTGCAATCTATACGTTATAGAGATAATAACAAGCCGAGCACGTTAACAGTGACGAGAGAAACAACTCACAGACTCAGGGCCGGGCTCAAAACCAAAACCACGAAGAAAAACCTCCAACCACCAAAACCATGGCTGCTATAAAAACATTAAAGGAGCAACACGCAAATATGCAGGGCACAGAGGCAGATAATAACACAGTGCAGCCACAGGATGCTTCTTATACTCTGTGGAAGATCATACATACATCAATAATAACACTTTAATTGCAGTATAGACAGCAAACAGTAAGCTAATTGGTGGGATAGTATAGAGATGATCATGAGGGCATCATATGTGTTTGTGGAAAAGCGGATATTCTATAAGTACATTTTCAGAATAATCTAATATACTGTACATATTTTTATTTTAATGTCATAATATTATATTCTAATTGTACTTACTTTTGTATATATTTTTGTATTGTATTTTTGTGATACGTTTCCTTCTTTTTTTCACATTAGGAAGTTGTTATTTTTATATACTTCCTTCTTATTTGTACAGATTTAGCCTCATTGTTTCGCCATATACAGTATGTTACTGTTGATTTCATTCATGTTTATTAATGGTGCTTCTCTGCCTATAGACCCTCCAGAAAAACGCGATTCTGCGATCGCAGAATTTACCGCATAATCAGCAAAATGGCGCAGATTTTTAAAAGGCCGCATATTTATCAAAAGGCCGCATAATCCCCGCATTTTTCCACACAAAATTGAGAAGAAAAAAAAGTTGACTCGTCTTGATGTGACGTCATCAGCTCGCGCATCACAGAATGT